AGATTCCAAACATAGGAAATCCTGGACTTCTTACCCCAGTACTGATCATTGACTTCAGTGCAGTGGTTCTCCCCTGGCTACTACATTCAGCAGGCAAGCTTTGCTGTACACATAGAGCTCAAACTGCTATAAATGATTCCTTTTCCTTCAGCCTCCCACTTTTCATGTAATTGCTCAGTAAATTTTCCTTAACATACATATTATGCAAATTATTCTCTAATTTTCTGGTAACTCCCTAGCTTACAGTAACTTTTTACATGAGATTCCAGTTCACTAGCTACCCTTAAATATCAAAGATAAGGGACATAGGGTTTATATATTCAGATTATCCAAATAATTTCCTACCTGAGTGGGATCCAGGAGGATCAAATCACAGCATTTACGTAAATGTTTGTGAAGAAATGTTTTCCCCAAAGAGTGGTTACTGGAGTTCAACCTCCAGGATTCCAGATCAACAGAAATTATACACCCCAGAAAGAAGCCAACTTCTCATCTATAAGGTGTACAAGATCCTCAGTTGCCAAGTGCTTGAGGGAATTAGTGTAGATCTTATCTGAACTAGACAATACTAATGTTTTCATAATTATAGCTCTTTAATCCATGAAGCTGATATATCTAAACCAGTACACCTGCAGAGCTTTAAGATTCAGATGTCATACCTTCTTTAAAGAGTACAACATGCAGAGACTTGTGTGCACTTTAAGCAACACCAAAGATGGTGGTGTTAAAAGCAAGACTTACCCAAACTCACTAAAAGCAATTTCACTAAGGTCTAAAGCATTAAACTACCTGAAGGCTTAAAATAGAGATCTTACAAGACCAAAAGCATTAGGCTCTTCCATATTAAAAAAAAAAAAAAAAAATTGGTTGCTATTAATCTCCATCACGTCCAAAGCCTGATTTTGCAGCAATTTCGAACAATTTCAAATCTTATTATGCCATAAGAGATAAATCTAATTCTTTGACACAGGCATTCTGCATGAGTTTGGGCAGAGTATCACAGCATCTCAGTTCTGCACCTGCACAGCAAGGACAATAGAACTACCCTGCCTGAGAGAGGTATCAGAGATTGAGTGTATCCTTAATTATGAAGCTGTGACATATAAACACCAAAAACTGAAATAGGGAGCCAAGAAGAGAACAGTGAATCATCACCTTTACAATAAAAATCAGAAAGAGCAATATACCGACTGCCTAACCATCACTGAACCTGAACAACTAGGAGGCTTAAAAATAAAATGCCCAACCCTACTCTAAGAAATGGGTTGAAGACTCTTCAGCTTGGGAACTTCTGCATCTTTGGTCCAGATTTCTATCACAAAAACTGCACAGAACAAACCTACACTGGTGGAGAGATGAAATGGAGGTTTCATTAGGTTTTCCCACATCTATAGTTTTATTTAATTCCATAAAATCTCTCAAGATTATTGTTATGTTATGCACCTAACACAAAAGTGTTTCAAGGATAACTGATAGGTCTGCATAGCACTTTGCACTCTCCAAGTACTATATGAGTGCCAAGTATTAATAATGAACTGCAGAAAGAAAGCTTATTTCTACTTCCCACTCAAAGAATTAGTATCTGAATTTTAAAAAGCATATGGATCCACTGAAAATAGAATATATATTTTAGAAGTTAAATGACAAAATTACAAACCCAATATATTTCCAGAATCATTGCATTTTTCTCCTAGGAAGGTGTAATTCTAGTGGAAGAATTGTGTTTTCACAACATTCCTGGTTTTTACACTCTCTTTTCCAGCTGACTTGACTGAAGTGCAGACCATTAATATCTGAAGTGCCTTGTTTTGATTATACTGGCCTTTGCTGGTACCAATCTAGTTAAGGTAGCACCAAGAATTTCCAGCATAAAACACATTTACAGGTTTATAACTTGGCTCTAAAAATTCTACTCCAAAAGACAGTGGGAGGCAGAAAGGCTCAGATGAGTGCATTATATTACATATCCTATGTGATGCATACTTACACAACTGTATGTGAAGGGGAGGGATTAGCTTTCACTCTGAATTACCATGTTTCACAAGCCACCTAAAATGACACTTTTAACTTCCCCATTTATGTAATCAAAATAATGTTTTGTAAGTGTTTCAGCTAATTAAGAGCATAATTTGCCCAATTTCACAGTTTGGCTTAAATCATAGCAGGTGTCAATATAATAAAGGAATTGGCAAGTCATGTCTATTGATCGTATTTATACACAAACATTCCCCCCCCTTCTTCCCCTCAGAAGTCAATTGCAGCTTGTCTTCAAAGGGTCAGCATCTAGGCAATGGGATGTTACAGACTGCTAGCAGCACAAGGCTGCCATTCAAAGAAAGGCTTAAACAAAGATCAAGGCTGAATAAATTTGTAGGTGTTTGCCTTTTTGTAAAAGATAATCTCACAGGAAACTGAGTAAAAAGAGCTTTGCAGGTTACTTAAAATGCTATTCTTAAAGCAACATGTATTTATGGCCATTGGTATTGTATTTCCTCTAGCCCACATAGGAACACAATGCAGCTCTCCACTACAGCACAGCAACATTAAATATAAAAACCTGCCATTAAAGGGCAGAGGGTAATGGCATCAGTGTGGGCGACCCATGCTCAGGTAGTGTTCAACGATTATCTCCAGTTTAAGTAGGCTGAAAATACGCAAATCCAGCCAGCACTGATTTTAGATAAAATTGTCAGTTTTATGGATATTTATAGTATGTGTCCAGTCTTGCAGAACTCCATCTTCCTCCACCTCATCTGTAATATAAACCGCTTTTAGCCCACATTAATACAATGTGTTACTGGGATACTTCTCACATTCTGTATAAACCAGGCAACAGATCAATACTCAGCTGTGCTGAGGGGAAAAAAAAAAAAAATTATTACATTAGTATCCTGTTAAAAACACAGACACCAAGAGGATAAACCTGATGCACAGACACCATTCCATCTGGACGCATATGTAGATTACTGCTTTTAAATACATCAAACGTGGCTTTCTTGTCAATATACAGTTTTAAAGAATACTACAGGTAGAACCTTTGGTATATATTCTACACCAAATCAGTCTCACCACAAAAAACTTAACCTCTCTGCTTCTCATGAGAGCTCTTTCTTTTGATCAAAAGTTTCCACCCTTTGTATCAACTCCCTTACCCATATACTTCCTGGGGTGAAATCCCAGCACTGAAATTGGAATAGCAAAGCTATTTCCATGACAGCATCTGCTAATGACACAAGCTCAGGTTTGTAACTCTTCCTTGGATCAAGGAAGCATAAGAAGATTTAAGATAAAGACTTTAGAACCAATAACAGTAAAAACCAAAAGGAAAGCAGCCACATGGAAAAATATTTTTTAAACAGTGTAAGTTCTTCCATTATTTGGGGTTGCCTATATGTGAAAGTCTCCTTGGAAAATTCATTAACTGCACATTTTGGGGTTTTTCCCTCCCCTCAGTATTTCTCAGAGTCAACAAAGCATATATCCCACCTGCATCAGAACACTGACAATATACCATAGCCAGAACAGATGCAGCTCTGTTTATCTCAGACATAAAAGAAAACAGAAGAGCCACACAACCCTCTTCCTATTGTTTCCCCAATCTACCACATGAGAAACAGAAACTGATGCCATGCCCCAGAGGTCAACAAACTTGAGCTCTGCAAGACGATAATTGCAGAGTTGAGATTCCTCCGAGACACCTTGCCTCCAGCCTAGCAAAGTTTAAATCAAGAAAACATGAAAACATCAGCTTCAATGTCCCAGCTGACCTTCACTAGTGTGGACTTGGAGAGAGAGAGAGAGAAGAATGGTCTCTCGGAAAGAAGCTCCAAAGCATGCTTACACCTTTGCAACACATCACTCATCCAAAGAAATGGTTTGCAAATATAATACAGGACTTGATGCCCATCTTCTTACAGGTGTTCAAGCTCTTCACAGAAGTCAATGTAAGTTGACAGCTGTAAGCAACTTGCACAAACGAGTTACTACTTACTACTTGTACTACTGATACAAGACTAGAGAAAATCAAAGCCATCCTGTTAGCACCTGCAATGAAACTCTCATGTTTAAGGTGTTTTGCTATAGTTTTTCATTCTCTCCCACTCCACTTGACTTGGCTCTTTGTGTTGGGCTCACGGTACCACAGACCCCTTCACCACTATGTTTCATCATTTCACAACTCCAGTTGCCACGACAACAGGATGCAGCTTATCTGTGCTGTTTTCATATTTCCAGTTTTTGTTGCCATAACAACATAATCATTCTGGCTTTCTATAAAAACAGCAACTTTAAGCCACATATTCTCAAGGATGCAAGATTCATCATAAATGTATCTTCATGAAAGAAGAGATTTGTACAGGCAATTTGTAAATTAAGCTATTTTTTTCCAAAGGGGGATTTTTCACTCACAAAAGTGAAAAGCTGACAGCAATTGCTAGAGGCAGACTGCTGAGACATCTAAAGCCTGGCCTTTAATAATAGCCAGAGTAATATAGCGCTAGGCCACTTCCGAGTGGGGACTCCCCACAGTGTCAGATTGTGTCAAACTGCACAATTGTTATGTGATGTGAGTAAGTGTCCATACTTGTTTCACCCAAGCAGATCTGAATTAGACGCTAGATGCAATTCTCTTGAGTTTTAACCCAGTGGCCTCCCCATTATTACCAGCACCACCACCATGCAGCTTTGTGTTTGAAGGCCCATTTTAATTCTGTAATTCGAGCTGTCGTTGCAGATTTCTTTTCAGACTCTGACCCTTTTTGCTTCCAGGTGACTGCATTTTGAACTTTTATTTACAGGAAGTGCACATTCATAAGACTGGTGAGAAAATGTTATACAAACACAGCATGCATAAACACAGAACAGTGATGGCTATGAGGGATATCAGCTAACATGGCACTGTAACTTCATTACACCCTCATTTATGTACTTCACTAATGAGACAAGCACAGGTGTCCAACACGGTCCCTCACATGAGATGAATAACAATAATACAGTCCAACCTGCTTTAGCCATGCTTGGTATCCAGAAGATATAAGTTGGAATCCATCTTTTGGCATGTGTATTCGGGGCTAGGAGAGAATAGACATAAAGAGAGACCTCCTTTTACACTGAGACCTAGCTAACCTAAGTCTAAATTCTGGAGCACTTTAAACAATGCAGATTTTTAAAGCCATGTATGAAGCTTTAGTCCCCAGAATAGTTCTTGTTTACTCCTCTGATATCAGCTGCTTTTCTAATAAAGTTACCACCATTTTTATGATTTCCATCATTTTACATTTCAACTCAGTATATATAGGTATTTCTTTAAAATTTTCACACAAATGCTTGAAAAAGCACAGCCTCTTCAGTGAGTGCAGTAGCAGAGTCTAGTGGTCATTAATGCTTTTGCCACTACATAAAGCTAAAGGGTGTCAAAACAGCAGTAGTCAAGCTATGAGAGTGTTTTTACAGTTACCATCGTCAACACAGTCCAACCAGACATTGGACAAGATAAGATTAAGGAAAATTCCTGAAGAGATGCAGCCTTAATATTGGGGTAATAGGAAACTATACTCACACACAGCCATAAATTATGCCTCAAACTGATAGACAAATATAACCTCCTCCCCATTTATCATTTTCATGTTTTATCAAGTTGAGGAAAAGGCAAGACATCCAATAGCTCTGGAAGCACAGAACATATACAGCACAACTCACAGCCAGAAAGAAGTATGCAACAACAAAAAAAAAAAAAAAAAAAAAAAAAAAAAAAAAAAAAAAAGAAAAGAAAAAAAGAAACACTGCCTGTCATGACATTCACTTGCAGTTTGAAGATATTCTCACAATCAAGTGGATTCAATCTGTTTCCCCTCCCCTCCCACAAAAGGAGATGCTTAGAAATTAAAATCACATGTAAGCAACAGGACCAGACAGGACATCCACAGACACCAAGTCTAGAGATCTATCATACTCCTGGAAACTACTTCACGGTCCATTTCTTAATTCCCTGTACTTCCCTTCCAAACCAGCAGACTTGTGCCCTTACCACTCCTTCTGGAAGGCTGGAAAAAAAAAACAACTTCTCATTTTCAGAATAGCTCTATTCAAGGTTTGTTCCTGTGTCAACACAATATTTGTTCTTGTGTCAACACAATATTTAGTCTGTACAAATTGTGTCCACCCCGGTACTTGTAACACTAAAAAATACAATCGATTGGAGAAGAAAAATGTGTGACCGCTGAATGACAAACCTTCACAGCCATGGTGGGGAGGCAGTCCAGCCTTAGAATGCAAAATTAAAATAAGTACTAGGACAGACTAAAATCTTGCCTCTAAAGAAAAGTACACATACAGGATTTTATAATATACTTTGAACATTAGTTATTTTTGCTTCTCTCCAGTTTGAATTTAAATCCTCGTAAATCTTTCAAAGCAGTAGTAAGATTATGTCCTGGTGTCCTAGCCAGTCTGAGTTAAACATAAATTGTAATAACCATCATTATGCTGATAAAGTCAAGTATATCTGGTTACTGCATTCACCTGCTGAACTTGGACTTGCAATGCTTAACACATTAACAAACTATGTTTAAGGGGACTTGCACACACAGCTAAAAGCATCATGCTCTGAGACCTAATCCTTACTTCAGCACTAACTTCCTGGGTGGTTAGTCTCTCTACTACTGTAAAATGAGGACAACACTCATTTAACCCACCTCACAGGTTTGCTGAGAGGAACTGCTGACATTTCTACATGCTTTGAAAATATGAAGTGCTACATATCTAGCAAGAACACTACAGAAAACCCACATTTTACTTCTGGCTCAAGTGCTTCATTTGCTTTTTCAAAGTAGCACAGCACAGTATACCTATCAAGGAAAAAAAAAACCTTCATAAACAAGCAGAAATTATGATCTTTTGAAATCACAGTGTCAAGAGTAAACTGACCTGAATACCAGCCTCAGATCTGTCCAGGTTCACATAACAAATTGTGAAAAATTACTTCATTTTTTTCTGTTTCTGTCACCTAACCTACAAATTAAAGGATAACAGCAAGTTTTCTCTTAGAATCAGAAGGCTACTTAACATTTGTAAAGCCCATTAGTCCAGAGTAGTTTGAGTAACTGATATAAGACATTGATTTAAACCATTTAATTTGAAGACCCTGGTCCTGCAAATGTAGTGTTTCAACAGATCTACTGCAATCAACAAGATTACTCTCATGCGTGTCTCCAATATAAATGATAACACTGTATTTCTATTTAGACTCTTACTAACACCAGTTCTCTGCGACTTCAACATAAAAGTTGCTTGATTATTACCAATAAAAGTAATCAGTGGACTAGCAGCTACTGTAAACTCAATTTTTCAATGCTGACAAATATACAAATAGGAGAAAATAAGACCCATCACTCATCCCTTTACACAGTATGTGCAAAATCCTCTCAGTGAGATAAGTCACCTCTACATTTCATAAATCTACGCTCACCTAAGAAAAAAATAAACTATACAGAAGTAAATTTTACCAGCATGAGCTGAATCACTTCCCACATACTGCAGCTTGTGCCATTAAAGAGGGATATTTGCACAAATAAGCCCCCATTCACATCAAACACAAGCACTGATAGAAAAGTGTAATTTAATTAAAATCTCATAGATTCACCACTGGCTAAACTTTTACAACCAATCTCCTAAATTCTGAACTTCTGTGGTTCTCCTAGGCATGCTGAGAATGACCTCTAGGAATGCATTCTTCAGCACAGACAGGCAATTAAATAAGTACATCTGGTTAAAATGTTCTGAATTTCAGTATCCAAATGACAGCAGACACAACCACGAAATGATAGAAGAGGAACCCATATATACTTGACAATATAAAAAAATAAAACAAAATTGCCCCTCTTCCCCTGGCCTTTCAAAGATGTGGAAGGCAGACAACTGCCTTCTTTGAAAGCTGTACTATTTTATCTATCAACACTAAAATCTTCCTCAGATATGATCCATTCAAGGCAATTCTATCGGCCATACAATTGATTGCCCAGCAAGATCTACTTACTTTCGTATTTCATGAGCACACACCATTTATGCTTATGGTTCAATATCATTCATAAGCACAGTAATTTCTCTTAGCATCTCTTAGCCTTTTCCATGACCAGCAGTCTGGCTGCTAGGGCAATTTTTGTCTCTTTTTCAATAGCCACAACTGTCAAAAAGTTACTCTGAAAGCACTCCAACTGCTAATTTCTATCATGCTATTTTGTGATTATTTCAACATTTTTATCTAGGTGAGTGACTAATTTGTAATATAACCCTCTCTACTTCCTTTTCCAAGACATTCACGTTTATTATTAAGGACTTGCTTTAAAAATGAGCCTTCCATCATCACAGATGGCTTATTTCACAACCATCAGCAACTTATTCACAGTTCTGAAATGCAATTTTACTCTATATGAAGTGCCTACTTTCTCTTTAGTCTTCTTGGTGGCCACAGAACTTGTCATCTATATATTACTCATACATTAAAATTATTATATATATTGCAATTGTCTATAAACCCATGAGCCAGAATACCTTACTGTGCTCATCCTCTGACTTTTTTCCTTTAGTAATCTCTCTTCCATTTTTAATCCATTTGATTTTTGCAGTCCCTAGCAAGACCCAGAAAAACAGAATGATTTCTGAGAACAAGTCAGTAATTTAAAATTCAGTGGTACCCTCTTCCCTTCTATACAAAGGCTGATTTTTAGAGGACATTTAATTACAGGCCTGAGTTCCTATTTTCTAAGCCTAAACACAACCCCTGAAGGCTTACAATATTTGAGTCACAGCTGGAGCTGTGGTTACTATACAGTTTAAATATCAGCCTCTTTACTGTGCAATTTGTTTTGAAAATCAAATCAGATGCCGTGTCATAAACAAGTGCTAATTAAGTACTGAGCGGAAATTGGGCTTTTTTTGTGCAAGAAGGGTTCTTAAATATCTGCATCTTCACTTCCATAAGAAGGGATATGTCAAGAATGATAATTATAAAAGGAAACCTACTATGGTACTTGCAAGGCAGTACTGGTACTGCTTCTCCATTTCATCTGCTGCCATGTAAGAAGAAATGGGGGGGGGGGG